CAGAATCCTCATCAGAGAAGGTATCTTGTCCTTCGGGGAGCACCTGAAGGTGTGGAGGGGTTTAGCCAGTTTAACAGAAAAGATGGAGGAAGGAGCATAACGCTTACCAGTTTCCCAGCCTGGATTTTTATATCACGACTGTTTATGTTCTCAGAGTTGGTGAAGGACCACCTTTGTGTATAAAAGTGTTGCTTCAACCTTGCAATGGTAACAAATTGACCTGCTTTATCCGGGTAGACTTCAAGATGGTTGTATCTTCAGTTGTATGATAAAAACGGTTCACATGACTGTGTGGCATCTAAAAATAATACCTGTTTTTACAGCATCTCTCTGCCACTAAATTGTTGACTTGAATTTTGAAAAACAAGTTGGTGTTGATATGTATATGTGTGTGTGTATATATGTATTTATAGACAAGTGTGTGTGAGTGACACGTGAGTTAATAGTCTTCCCCTACGCATGTGTATCCACACACACATGGCTGAGTTATAGTCACTAAACAATTTGCAATAAAAACAAAAGATTCATTGTCGGTGAAAACAGGAATTAGTGTTTTAATAAATCTGCTCTTATGGTGAGTAAACTCTTTAAGAACGCTCGTTGCCATATTAACTTAGGCTAAGATTTAAGGGTACCATAATTTGTGTCTAAATTCAGACTGAGATAGAAATCACTCAAGTTGTGGGGTGTTGCTTCTTATTTCACACTGTAATAGGAAACATCATTTCTATTAATTCAGCTACCTAAAATGAATAGTTTTCTGTATCCTCTTTTCTTTGTTTTTCTGTCATTGTTGTTAGTGGTCTCAAAATTCTGATCAGTAACTTTGTGTGTAGTGCTGAATCCCAAACTCTGAATGATCCAGTTGAAAACCCATCCCTGTCCTTCCTTCAGCTGAGGTTTGGGGATGGTGAGTTTCCCTCAGTGTCCTGCATTATACCAGACTAAAGGAAGAACAGGTAATAAATAGGGAGAAAGAAATGTCTGTCTAGTGGCTTTGGTCATGTCTCCACAGGAGAAACGAACCATTCGATTGTCTTTCGATTTTAGTTCATTCCACTCTAAGGAGTTTATTTCTTTCAGTTGTTGGCTTGCCAGAGTGTCGCAGTAGCAGTAGCTATCCCTCTGTTGGTCTCTTGGTCAACACTGGTCCATCAGACTGTTTTGATCGGTAGTCGTTATTGGTAGAGTCATGCCCTGCACCGTTATCTTCTAAGTTAAAAAAAAAAAAAAAAAAGTGCACAGGCATTTCATCGGTTTTTTCCTTAACCCACCCTCACCCCACGCCAACACTGACATGCTGTCTGTGGACGAAGAGCGATTCCCAGAATCTTTAGGCAAGCTGCCACCATCCCCTTGCCGTGGGCTTTCCCAGTAGGTGCACATATGTTTCTGTTTCTGTACAGTACTCTGTATTTTTTGATAAAATAGCTATTTGACTTAGCAGGGTTGAAGTGGCTTTTAATTATCTTGTGGGCATTATTGGACACGTCTTTTTAAAAACAATCTGACCTTAATCGTGCCACACTTGGTTGACTAATTTATTTTGAGCATTAAAGTTTTTCTTCTGTTAATTTAGACATTATCACAATTCTGTATCGTTACTGACTTAGGAAAGATTGCACTTAAGCTTCTGTTAAATGTGATTTCTTGGCAGATTTTCCTTTGAGTCAAATGTCTGAAACAATGAACATATATCCCAATGTTAAACTAACTAATTGTGGAAAGAACATTTTTAAACAATTCCAAGTTTAAATCCATAAGACACTTCAAGATCTTCAGAACTTTAAAGCACATTTAAAATTATTTTAGTAAGAATTTTGTTTTATCAATACATGTTGAATTGTTTTTTAGTTAAAAAAAAAAACCACAAAGCTTAGATTTCAGAAAGAGGGAGGGAGAATAGCTGGTGGTCCCAGAGTGTGCTGCTGTTAATTGTTTAATTAACAAAGGGGAAATGTATATAAACAGATATAAAAGTTACCATAAATTCCATGAACTTAAATCTGTGATTCATTGCCTTAAAACTTTCTCTCTTAGAATTTCCATACCGCATGCCAAACCAGTAAAATGGCTTTTAAAAATGTATAGTAGACCAATGTCAGTTTGTATAAAAGTACCAAGTGAAAATATTTATTACATGCATTGGAAAAAAATTGTTTACCTATTGAATGTTACCTGTTTATGTAGAGCTCTTTAGATGTAATAAAAGAAAAGCCTTCAGTTAATTTGTCTTCTGTAAAATATACTGTGGGTATGCAAGGGACCATCCCCGTAAGAAAACTGATAATGCTTGGTGTTTCAGAGCACCATTCATCCAGAGATTTCAAAGCATGGCAGTTAATTCCCTTGCAACATGCTTTGAGGTAAGTAATGCATATACAGCCATCATTCCCCCTTTCTTACTGAAATATGGCAAGCTTTGTACTGAAACCACAGCATCTGTTTAGTTTTAAATCTATTTGATAATCTGCAGTTTGAGTGCTAAGAGAGGTGTGGCCTGTTTTTGTAAACAACGCTAGGTGCTAGGTAAACCAACTGGGATTTCAGGAATGAACAAGAAACGGCCTTGGGGTAGTAAGAGAAGGCCTTTCCTGGGGTAGAGGTTTCAGTGAGAACGAGTCACAGGGTCTTGGAGTCCTAGCCACTGAACACCCGGAATTAGGAACACGGAGTCGGTGCAGATGAGCCCAGGCTCTAACGACCAAGCCACTCAGGGGCTTTGGGCAAGCGATACTTCCTGGTAGGAAAATGAGATTGATAAAACTTTGCTTTAAAACCATCCTGGGACCATTCAGTGACAAACGTTTAAAAAGCTTGGAGGGGAAGTACCCTTGTTTATTATTTTAGCCCAGAACTTCCTTTCCTGTCCTATCTAACTCCTAGGTATCTGCTGTATCATCCGTGGTATTCCAGAATGGCTGTGCAGGACTTGCTTCCTCATGTCCATGATGAGTCAAAAAGAGATGTGGGGCCAGGACCCCTAAGCCTTGGCTGAAAGCGAAATGTAGCAGTTCTCAATGGGGTACCGCAGAGAAGCCTTCAGGTAACGAAATTTAAGCACCAGCATACACACAACACCCCCCCCCCCGCAACTTGCTTTGGCCTCTAAAAGGGCCCTGGGAACAGCCCTAGCAATTCTGTATATTTATTTATGTGTGTGTGTGTGTGTGTGTGTGTGTTTTTTAATGTTTATTTACTTTTGAGAGAGAGAGACAGAGTGTGTGTCGGGGAGGGGCAGAGAGAGGTGGGGGGAGACACAGAATCCAAAACAGGCTCCAGGCTCTGAGCTGTCAGCACAGCCTGATGCGGGGCCAGAACTGGTGAACTGCGAGATCGCCACCAGAGCCACCCAGGCGCCCCTCTCTTCATGTATTCTTAAAAGAAGGCCATCAAATTGTATAAGCCTCAGGCCCCACAAATCCTGGATGTGCCCCTGCACCATGTGAACCTGGGCTCCCCAGCCAGATATCTGGTCACAAGTTCACCTACTTGGTGTCGGGGCCATTTACTGCCTGCCCCCAAGAGTGCTCGGAAAATGACCATGGTTAGGTCTGAAGCCACAGCATCGGGAGATGGTTGCAGTAACATGGGGACCAATCTGTCCCTTGCAGTTTCCCTTGTGCCTAGCCCTTAGATTTGTGTTTTGTGTTTTGTGTAACCTCCCAAAAGACACACCTCCCTCTGAATTTAGGTTTCTTTTGCTTTGGCCACTAAGGTGCCATTAAAAAGCCACAAGCCCACAGAGCCCAATTTTGATACATATAAGGATGAAAATCCCTGTACTTAGAGCTCTGCCCTGCCCCGGCTTAAACGTGCTAGTGTGTGACTCCAGCCCTTTTTAGGGCTGTGCTGACACTGCCAGTGGATCCACAAATTTGTTGAGCACATGGGCAGCACCAGCCTGGCACCTCATGGGTACATGAGTCACTTAAAAATCTCCAGCTGGAAGAGGTCCCAGCAGGGCTCTCGCTGTGTCCCAGCCATGGCCGGTTGCTCCCCTCATTACTTGCCATTAGTCTTGGGGGGAAATGGCTTGAAGCCATGATCAATTTGGCCCACTTGAGCCGACCCCTCCTAGTGCCGTGACCCTCTCCGATAACAGTAGAGCTCGAAATTCAGACAGGAGCTCCTCTCAAGCTCTGCGGGGTCCTGATGAATGCAACGTGTCACATCTGACGTCCTGTGGTGTGGGCTGTAAAGCCAGATCACTCTTCCTGCTGTTTAGCCGATGCCGCCCTGTTTTAACATGACGGTTTTCACTCTATGGTCTGTGTTTATGAATGAATATCCCGAACTGTGTCACTATGTGCTGAGCTGGGAATAAGAATTTGTAAGCGGCCCCGTGGTGCCACAAGAAATGTTAAACCATGATCTTTCGTTCATTTGTTTTAGCTCTTTGCTTGATGCTGGTTCTCAGCTAGCACTGGCTTTGCCTTGGAAACGTGGACGATGGTTCCAGCACCCAAATACAGAATAGTGTCTTTTGGTAGATTGTCCTTTTTAGAAGACCCACCCACATGGTAACTCAGGACCGCACAGTGCTCTGCGATTGGCAATGGCGGTTTCAGGCCACTATTTCAGACCATCCTCAGGGGGCTCTGTGAGGTAAGAAGTAGGAATCTAACTTTAGGAATCCAGCTGAGGCTTTGAGGGGGTGAAATGACTTACCCAGAGTCCAGAGTCACATAGCTTGGCAAATGGCAGAGTCAGAAGTGGAACCCAGGCCCAACTCCAAACCTTGGGCTCTTTCGATGCTATAAAGGGCTGGACTAATGGTAGTTATTAAAATCAGTATAAATCTTTTTATTAAAGGCCTGCTGATGCCACGGCTGAGATCCTTTAGTCTCAGAGCCAAGCTACCCTCTGGTACCGTCGGGTCATGTCACCCTGCTGCCATGTTCACCATTTCCCCAGAGGGAGCGGAACACTTTTCCTTTCAGAATCTCCTCAGTCTGCATCTCCAGGGCCAGGGGGAGGCTCCCTCACATCCTCTTCGCTCAGTAGTCCTGCACAGGGATGGTGATCTTGTCGATAAATTCATCATACTTCACTTTGCCATTTGGTTCAATCTCTGCTTCCCTGAAAAGATCGTCCACTGCAAAAAATCACATTAATTTTTCAGGTTGGCCATAGTGTTACATGATAGGACATCGAGTCAATTACTGGGGGGCTGAGGCTCCCCAGAGGTCTTCCCTTGTGTCCAATGGACCGTTCCTGTAGACTAATAAACTAGTGAACAGAACAGGACAACCCATCCCCTGTCCCTGAAGGCCACTGATTCACTTTTGAGCTAATCAGGCTTTCTGCAGGGGCCAGGATAGAGGGTAAGGAGGTGTACTAAGTGAGGATTAAGCCACTGAAGCCACTTTGTGCTTGTTTTTCTCTTCATCTTTTTTTAAGAAAAATATCTGACCCCTGTGCCTGTATTTCCAGAAACGTTTGATGTGGATTTTACCTCCTATAGCCCACCCTCTCAGCCTCCCAGCAGAACAGACAGCCTCAGCAGCCCCATCCTGGGCCACCCTGTCCCTGGCTTTGGCCTGCCAGCTCTCCCTTCCAAATTGGCATGCCCCACCCTAAGAAGGGACTTGGTGACAAGTGGTGTCGGCCACCATCACCTCTCTTTTAAGACGTGTGTGTTTAGGGATGGGGGTAGTATGAGAGAAAATAAATTCAACTGTGTCTAAAGCTCATAGTATACAAAACTGTCATTGTTCTCTGACATTGCTAAAAAAAAAATCATTTACTTGTTTCTTCTGGTTCTGGATTCCTCAGACAAAATACTAGCTTGTCCCAGATGTTGGCAAGAAAGGCCATTTCGGCTTACGTTTCTCCACACTGGCCTCATGGGGCCAGCCTACCTTTGGCTCTTTGGGCCATCCTCATCCTCTTGCAAAAACCGTTTCACTGCCCTGTGTCAACTTCCCTGGCACTAGATGTCCCCGACACATAATTCTGGGCAGTTGGGAAATAGCCCGTGATTCTCTGCTCAACCGTCCATCCTCCCCTAAAATGTAATTACTCTGCTGTGTGCCTAAGCTGATGGTAATTCTGAGTATGTTTAGAATGTTGCGGAGACTGTAATTTATCTTGTTTCCTGAAGAAGCTTCTACCCATCATCCATTTGGTTCAGACCTTCCCAGTGGACAGGCTCAACACCAGCTTGCGACATCAAGCACTGCAGCCTTCTCCTGTCCAGAGAAGGGGCCGCACTTCACGGCCAAGTGCTGATGATGCCTTCTGGGTAGAGCGGTGGGTCCCTCTGACCCCATAAAGAACCAGGGTGCTGAAATTCTAAGCCTGTCCCAGGCCTTCGAATGGAGGCCTCCCTGGCAGCCTTCTCCAGCTGTTTGGAGGATGCTTCTTAATAAAATTGAAGGTTTTCTTTCAGTCATCCAGGGTAAAAGATTCCTACTTCTAGTATCATGTTTCCTCTCTCCCACAACGAGAGGAAGGGAAATCGGGCTTCCCGCTTGTCTGGAACACATTACCAGTTTGTTTGAAATGTCACTTCACTGGTTAAACAAACAAGATGCGTGTGAGTTTGGGGGCCATGGTGTTGCTTTAGACTGAGATCATTAACCATAAGAATTAAGGTCCCAGCCGGCCCCCTCTGCCAACACGCCGCCTGGAACATAAAAGGCCGAGCGGTGTCCTCAGAGCCTGAGAGCGAAGGCGAGCCCCTGTTTTTCCCCGGTTCACATTAACACAGCTACAGTGAGAGATGGGATCGTGATAGCTGGCAGCCTGAAAAAGCGGGGGAAAGCTGAATCTGCCGTCTGTAGCGCTATTTTTAAATGTGCTGTGCCTTAGTGACTGCGGATAAAATCTTAAGTAGACTGCTTTACAGAATGTTAGCTCTTGGGAGGATCTGAGGGACTGTCTATTGTAACATTGTTTCCCAAAGGGAAAACCGAGGAGAGTGAGAGAGGTTAAGAAACTCATCTGAGGTCCCGCAAATGAGGCGGGGGGGGGGGGGGG